CTACAATTTATATATATATTATATATATATATATATATATATACAAGAAAGCCAGAAATGAAGCATAATGGAAAGAAAAATTATACTAATGAAAATTGATTTCATCAGATGGATTGTTTTACCAAATTAAGGTAGGTTTCAAAGATAATAATTTTTAAAAAAATGCCTAAAATGTGTTCTGGTAACTGAAAAAAACTATAATTGTGCAATAAATAAATAATAATAATAATAATAATAATAATAAAATCATAGCATTAATATTTTCATGCATTTAAGAACAAAATTATTAATATTTATGAAGCAGTACAAAATGTTTCAGCCACTGCATTATTACTTTCATACAAATAAATGCCAATATATGATATTTTCAATGAAGAAAGTTGAAGTAGAAGTGTAGTACACTTTTTACATAATATATTATATTTTCAAACTTGCAGAATAATGTACAATTTTAGCAGATTTTTTATTTGATATAGCAAAGGAAACCTGAAGTTTGTGGGTCATAATGTTATTGTATAGGCCAATGTCTTTGTTTTTTTGTCCATGTATTTCATGGAAGAATGATAGCCAGGGCCTCAAGGAGGTTGGACTTTTACTTCCACCCCAGTTTTGAGGGGATCTATGATAGCCTCTGGACACAGCACTATATTCACCAATGTTTATGAAAAGTGTTTAAAAGGTTAAATATTTAAAATTGATGAGAATGGCATTAGCAGCAGACTGTATCCATGAAGTCAAAAGGATGATTTGGTTATTTGAATATGAAAAAGCCCATGAGGGCTACTGCCAAAGGAGGGATGACTCTGTGGATGGCTTTCTAAGGGAAATTAGTTAGTATTCATGTTACACATAGGAAAAACCATGAAAAACAACAATGCACAGCTTCACCAGCGTTAGAATCCAGAAAAAACTACCAGCATTCAGCAGTCTTTAACAGCTTGACAACTAGTTAAGTCAAGGAAATTTAAGAATGAAGAATTAAGGTTTAGTTTGGTTTATTTAATTATGTCAAAGCACTTAAAGCTATGAGGCAGGATGCCTTCATGGAGGACTTTACAAGGGAAATTAGCTTGTATACACATTACACATGGGGAAAACCACAAAAATGCTCATGCAGCAAGCCTTTTTGCTGGGATTCGAATGCCAGACTGATCTTCCAGTGTTCTATGACTTTACCGGTGGGCTGAATGAAGAATTAAAAGTTTAGCTAAAATTACATTAAAATAATGCAAGTATTTTTTATTCATTTTATACATATTTGTTACATAAAAATTCTGATATATGCTAAATGACTGAAAATTACCTTATTGGAAAAATATAGTGAATGCACAGAAAATAAAGGTTTGCATATGTCGAAAAACAAAAAATTTAAATATATATGAATATTTCTTTATATATATATATATATATCTTTTTAAGTAACATGTATTTTCGTCTAATTAACTTCACAAATATTAATTAAGTTATTTATAAATTATCTGAAAATGAACAATTTATTCACCCAACTTCAACAAATGTTACCACTATCAAGAAATTTAGTTACTGAATATGTATTAATCTATAGCATTTAAATGTAAACATAGATTAAAAGTATTATTGACAGATGTAAACTATTTAAGCAGGAATTATTTTTACAGGAAAATAGTTTATCAAAATGCTACAGAAAGGACAGTACATGAGATATTAAGGCCCGTCCACACGAGGACGCTCCCGACGTAGTTGACATAACTTTTTCGACGCCGGCGTAAATTCGCAGGACGCAGAAGACGTAAAACTGAGTGCGCTCCTGTTCAGCTTGAACGCCCACGACGCGCGCGTATAGCCAATAGCCGACCAAGTTCTTATCACGTGTCATAATCAGAAAACCTTCTTGCTTAGTTTCAATATGGCGTCAGAGCCACACAGAGATGAGTTTTTGCTTAGAAATATAACTGTATACAGCAATAAAATAATCAGCATTGTTTTCACGCCATCTTCAGATTTCTCAAACCGTACATATTAGTATAAATTTAAAATTCTCATTAAAGGGGAAAACTGTATACTTATAAAGGAATGATCCGACCAGTATATCCATATGCTTCACCTATTTATAACACCGTAAGTAATAGGAGCCTAAATAAATTACAGTTTCTACGAAATCAAAGTTTCTGCCTTACAAAATTCTCCTTAATTATTATAAATATTGGCTTATATCATGTGTAATAAAAAGCTCTATAAATATCCCAATATTAAATATACCAAAAACTAACTTCAGCAATATAATAACTCCTAAAATAAAGCAGTTGACTGTGAAAGAGTATTCAATAAAATACAATTACGAAATTTTTGAGGAAAGTTACAAATTGTGTCATACAGCAATCATTTATTTAAGTTTAATTAAATGACCTTTGCAGCGACTTCTACTTGTTACATTATTTTTCACAAACAACAAACAGCGTGCTGCTTTGTTGGCGGAGGAATGGAAAGGTGGCAAGTTCGAACCTCCCCCGTAGATGGTATAATTCAGTTAGCTTTTCTCATTTTGAAACGTGTTTCTTATATTTAATCATGAATCATTATATTCTAATTTTACCTATTATTATTGTTTTTATTTCTTATTTTATTCATCATTATTATTGTTTTTAATTTAGTTTAAAAATGTGCAGTGCAAATAGAAATCCTTATGTAAAAATATATCTGCATCTCTTTATCATATATCATCTATAAATTCTCTCTTTATTTTTACTTTATTGCATATTTTATCATGCACATAATTTCTCATAAACTGTCCAAAGTTTGAACCTCATTCTAAATTCAAAAATAAATAAAAAGAAAAACAAAAGACAGCGAGTTAAAAAAAATATGAAGTTGGTTTTATTATATGGTGGATGGTGTATATAAAGAGAATTAAGTAATTTAATTCTCTTTATATACTGTATTTCCAAACCAATTTTATAAATCCTAATTTTCATACGATATAGAATCTGCAAGTCTGTCAAACTGGTCGATACTCATCCTGAAGGAATTAAAAAACAAGTAATATACCCCCCCCAAAAAAAATTAAGTCAATTCCTACTTAGGTCCACAAAGAAAAGTTTAAAAATACAAAATAAATAAAATAAAAAAATACAAACATAATTTTTTTTAAATTAAAAATAAAAAAAATTTTAATATCTGAAAAAGCTGTATTAACATCAAGTGTCATTCACTGCAAGTTTAAAAATTGTATTTGAACTTGAGTGGATGAATAAAAAGCATTTTATGTACTGAAAATTTGAACAAGATATAGGGAGAGTGTGAGCTAATAGTAGGAATTTAATAATTCCAGATATTCCTTTCGCAAACAAGGCAGTAAAAAAAAAAAAAAAAAAATCTCTTTGAACAGGTCGCTCTAAATAAATCTTTCGGACCCATTCTTGCCATTTTTTGCGGTTTTGCCTCTGCTTAATAATTGCACATAATAGTAAAGTTTCAGCTATAAAAAAAATCATCTGATTCAGACAACTTGCCGCAAACATACAGAAGAACAGCGAAGTAATAAGATACAGCTTTGTTGACGCTATATTACAGCGTCACGTGATTTTTGCGCAAAATAATTCTATTGGTTAAACGCACTCTTCGCAAGCGTACTCATTTGGATGCTTTTACGCTGGTAACGTAAAAGCGCGTTCGTCAGCTACGTTTCGAGCGTACTCGTGTGGACGGGCCTTTACGGGTACTTAAGTAGAGCAGAATTCTTAGAATGTGTATTGTCAAATATAAGGACACAATTTTGATAAGTATTAAAACAATTATTGCCTTATATTTTAATAATAATTTAAGTTGCAAGTCCTAAAGAATATTAATATTTTTTCCTTGCTCTTTCTTCCTTTAACTCACATATAAATTAAACTACATGGAAATCAGAAAACAGTAATAATATTTAACTACTAGAGTAAAAGGTGTTTTAATTTGAAGAGAGTACTAATTATTGAGTGGATATGAGTTTTGATTTAAATGACACTTTGAAAAAGCTAAAAATTCTTTCATATTTGAAAAAATATTCCAAAAAGTCCTAAACAGTAAAGAAATAATGCACAATTTTATTTACAATCATACAATAAAGCAATGATTTTGATTTTTTAATCGCTAGCCTAATACAAATTTCTTTCTTATGTAATTAATGGAAATGTATGAAAACAATTCATTCAAATTAAAACTAACCAGGGCACAGGAAAATTATTACTAGTTCATTTATTTAGAATCAAATATTGTTTAAAAAATAATCTTTCAAATAGTTAGGACTCTGAAATATAGTAGTAAAAGAAAAAATATACATTTATACTAATATTTATGGTACAAATGCAGAATGTTCACCACTGAATGTCACTGCTTTTAATTGCTTCAAACCAGCCGAGTAGGAAAAACCTTGCCCAGCCCGGGAATCAAACACTGGACCCACTGCACTCCTGGGCCTCATATCAATAAACAAATGACCCAGGGAATCATTAACACTGGCATTCTGGGTGACTCTACAGTGCATGGCTGCTGTTATACACCAAAAAGAGTCTTGACAAGGGCATCACAACTTGTTGCTGCTTTTTGTAAATTGCTTTCTTCAATATTATGAAAAAAAAGCATTTAAGTTTCTTGGAACTCTTGAATGATCTCAAGCCAGGGTTCCATGGAATATATTTTAAGAAATGCTGGTCTAGAGGATGTAGCAATTTTTTTTATGCAATTCAATATATTCACATTTCTACAGACAAACTTAACATGTATAGTCTATATTCCTTCATTATGAAATAAAATAGATGCATATGGAACTTCTGTCAAACAATCGCTTTGCAACATCAAATTACATGCAACAGCATAATACCAAGAAATCATGTTTTTAGCAACGATTAAAACATAACTAGTTAAATTTTCCAGTAAAGATATCCTTGCAGTCAATCTTAACATTTTTACTACCTATAAGGAAATTACTTTGCTCTTGAAGTTTATGCATAAGAAGAAGGGGAAGCACTTTTCTTTACCCTCACCTGAATTCAGAAGAATGATTATCTAGAAATGATAATTTATTGAGTTCTTCATCTATAACTTCCATAACTGCTGCAGGGACAGTGAGCTCCTTTAATTAAGAGAAAATGAATTAATTTATTTTGTGAAAAAGCAAAAAACATTAATAAACAGATTTTATTTCTAATGCATTGTTTGAATCAAAAGGAAAGAAAATTTATTAATACAAACAGTAAGCAAACAAATACAAACTTAATTATGAACAATAAAAAATTATATTTATAATTAATTATATTTCATTATAAATATAATTTTTATATTTATAATAAAACTATTTTAACTTTAACTAATAATTTAACTAATAACTAATAAAACTAATAATTTATACTATAAAAATTATATTTATAATATCTTTATTAGAAGCTGACCTTTAGCCTTTCCCGGAATTTTTCTTCAATGGCATCTTTGTCATCCTTCTCCAGCCCTAATTCTTTTTTAATAGCTTTTAACTGCTCTTGAAGCATATATTTCCTATGAATAGATTTAACTTTTTCTTCAACCTATAATCAAATAAAAGAAAAATTAAAATTTTTACCATTACCACAAAAATACAAAATCTAGGAAAATAAAGATGAAAACTATTTACCTCTCTTCCAATTTTTTGCTGCAGTTTGCTTAATTCTAGTTCTTTTTTAAGTAAGGAAAGAGCTAGTAACAATCTTTTAGGTATCTAGAATAAAGAAGTAATAAATATTTATATCTATAAATGTGATAAATACATACACACAGACATTAGATACATAAAACTAAATCGGAAAAACCTACCTCATGTTCATACATTTATGAATAAAGTCACAATATATATATATATATATATATATATATATGCATACCTGCCAACCTCTAAAGATAAAAATTCAGAAGATTTCTCCAAAATTCAGAAGAACACGAAGAATTAATATCATGCTTTGTTATTAAAAAAATAACAATTTATACAAATAGAAAAAAGAAAATTGTACTTACATTAGTAAATCTCAATTAAGTAGTAACTAAAAAATTTATTAGGAAACATAAAACAAGAACTTAATGTTACACAAAAAAATTATTGCAATGAATTTAGAGTGCATCTTTTGGCTTTAGCCAAAAATTCTTTGGAAATGGTTATGAGGAAACTAATTGTTAACTAATTGTCATAACAATTAGTTTCCTCATAACATTTAGCAATTAAAATGTTTTCTAGAGTTTTTGGTGAAATTGAAGAACGAAACATAGTTTTGTTTTTCTTCACAACACTGAAGACTCTCTCGCACTCAGCATTACTGTGTGGAATTACGAGAATAGCACATAAAACTCTGGCTAGTCTATCATATTTTGGTGTTCCATCAGCTCTTTTTATTCTTTTTAAGGTACCAACGAGGACATCAAGTCCAGAACTGGCAAAGTCTTCAAACTGTGCAGCAGAAAATTGGTTCTGTAGTTCATCTAAAACATCGTTATGGCATTCATTTTCTTTAATTGTTAACAAAAATGGAAATTTATCAATAAAAAACGAATCTTTTCAAAAGATGAATTTTCAATTTGTTTCAGATTTGCCACTTCAGCATTTAAAAGAACTTTATTTTGCAAAGGAAACTTCCTTACAATGTAATCACAGGCTGAGGAAAAGTACTTTCTAACACATTGAAAAAATTCTTTTTTCTCATGATCTTTCAAAGAATTTACAAGTTCCCTGGTTTGATTTCCAGTTATAAGATCATTGTGATCCTTTTGATTTGCCAAACTATTATAGGCAATACGAATCAACACACTGTTTTTCACAACGGACGGTTTTACAAACTTAGTATAAAGTTCTTTCAAAAGATCATTAAGAATTAAATAAGCAGGGGAGATTTTGGCGAAGCAGATTGTAGAAGGGTATTTACACTTTCAAAAATCTTAATGGTACTTAACACCAAACTACAATATGCTTTGTTCAAATCTGAAGAAAGAAGATAGAAAATCCTTTCCTCCCGGCTAATAGAAGATTTTCTTCTTCCCTTAAACTTCTTTAACAAAGTTGATCTTTGAGGAGTCTTCTAAGCATTTTCTTTTTAAAGGGTTTGATTCTGTGTGTTGGCTTTTCCTTTTTAAAGCATTTTGATTAGAAGCAAAGTTGGTTTTCGGAATCTTATATGTCGACAAATTTGATGGGATCTGTGGTTTCGTTTTGGTCTTTTCGTGGAAATATTTTAACAATGCATCTCACTGTTCAATAAACCTTCCTAGTGCTCTGCCTAAGGATAACCATCTCGTGCATACATGTTTCAGAATTTTTCTCGTTTCACCAAAGCACAGTTCTTGGAAATTCTTTAGGTTTTCTTTCCTTTTTACACTTTTTTCCAGATAGAAAAACACATCAATCAGAAGCTGGTCAATATTTAATGGTAAAGCAGCTGCAGCTTTTTCTGCTGCCAAATTAATTAAGTGGGCATCCAATAACAATTAATTCATTTGTTCTTTTTTGAGGAAAGAGGCTACACCCTTTTTGTCACCCACCATGACATGAGCATTATCTGCACCAAATGAAATGCAGTTTGATATTTGGGATGTTAAGTTGTTTCAAACTCATTTAATTACCAAGGAGGCAATATTTTCCCCCGTAGCGTCTCCGTTTAACAATGGAAGACACAAAAGATGAGTTTACATTTCATTAGAAACATCACAGAAATATGTGACAACGATGGGGTAAAGCTTCCAATCGCTGACGTTGCTGCCATCGATTGACACCGAAAATGCTGAATTCTGGAGTGCAACTATCGTTTTACTTTGTGCATCGCAAGCAATTTCGTTCACAATAGAAGATGTTTTCGTGCAAGCACAAGCATATTTCTGAGCAATCTTGGAGTCGGGAAACATCCGTCTGAAAAGTTGACCGGCGTGATCGGCAGCGCTTTAGCGGCGTGTGTTGTGTTCGATGAGGAATGCAGTAAACAAACAACTCTGCCAAAATGACATCGGCATCCGAATTCGTAGCCGAATTTGAAAAAAAAAATCATCCACTTTCTTTGACGTTGTCGAAGCCGAAGCATTAGACGTTCAAATGTCGAAGTTTTTTAGACTTAACATGCTTCACAATGGCACTTCTTCCACCGTGACTTATTATGAAGTCCCACACGCACACGTTGCAAAATGCATAGTTATTTCCTTTGAAGGATTCTTTAATTGTTGGAAAATTTGGCTTTGTAGGCAGGCCGAAAATATTGAGAATACGGTTTTTTTGAACTCATTTTGTAACGAACGAGGTATTAAGAAAATTCGTAGCACGTGCAAAACAGAAAAAAAAAAAAAAAAAAAAGAATGCTGACAATCCACGCTTCGCTGAGTAATTCCCTTGCTGCTGAAGCGAAACGCGAAAAAAAATAATCTGGCGCCCACAAAAGAAAAGAGTGGGAGAAACAAGTTCAGCGCATTGGATTGGCTGGTTAAGCGGCGAGTTGGGAGAAACCGCAGGTCACTGGATTTCGAAGTAGTCGGTAGTTGGCAGGTAAAACACATACAATGGCGCAAAATCGCTGAATTGGCGAAAAAATTCTAAAATTTCCGACAAGAAATCACTAAAAACACTTGAAAAAGGAAAAAAAAAAAATTCGTAAAACAAAACGGATTACGATCGTAAAATCGTAAAAACAAATGCATTTTCGTAAAAATTTTGAAAAATTCATAAAAGTTGGCAGATATGTATATATATATATATACATATGCATATATAATAACATATATATATGTGTATATATAATAAGATAATATATATATCATAAGATAAGCAATCCACATCCATTAAAATAAACTGCAGTATGAAAGAAAATTGAATGTTACGGATTTTATATAATGTAACATGAACAGTCTCCAGAAATTTAAAACTTTGAAAATAAGATTACAGGGGCAAATCTCTTTAATAGTAAAGTAATTACAAATTGGTGAGATATCAAAAACCTAGCGATGGTTTTCATGACTAAATCCCCAGGTATGGCAATAAATTGCCAAATGTCAGCAAATTTGATGATCATTTGGCAACAGTTTGGTCTGGTCTCTGTGTAACTGGTATAGTAACTGAACAATTGTAATTGATCCCTATATGTAACTGGACATTTCTGGCCCTAATATGTAACTTTAATTGCATATGCTCTAAAGTAATTTTAAGAAATGAAAGTACTGGAAACTTCTTGTCAGCCAGCGAAAACTATATAAGATCAGAGAGAGCATCAGTTCTTAGTTTTTAGGCTCAAAGTGGACTTCAGAGTATTGAGAGATCTCCATGCTAGCCTCACTCATTAGATGCGCTTTGCATCGTGTTTTGTTTAAAGTAATCAGTAGTGGTAACTACTGATTGTGCTCTGTCATATTGAGAAGAGCTGTACGAGTACTTTTGGGGAAAGTTCCAGAATAGTTAAGCGTCTCTTTTGGGAAAACAAATTTTATCAAGCTATCATCGGTTCATCAATGATGTATCAGCGGTGTGCATTCAATCAATTACGAACCTGCAGGCATGTTACATGACATAAAATTTGTCTAAAATCAAGTATCAACATTAGTGGAAAATACATAATGGCTTTTAAAAGCATACATTTATTTCTTCAATAACTTGTTGTAATTCATGTGGCTCAGCACCAGTTAAAGCAGCTCCTATTAAAAAAAAATATATATATATATATAAAATATACACATATAACATTAAGTCTATGAGTCATGAGAAAAGTGTATAAGATGAAAACTTTAAACATATAAAATTATTTACAATAAAAAGATTTTAAAATTACTTTCCTTACATATATTGCCGATTATTAAAATTGTTACATCACAAAGGAAGTGCACAAAAAACCCGAAATTTACACTAAGGGTAGAACCAAGGTTAGTAAAATCAACAAGATTTGCACATAAGAAAGAAAATGCTTTGAAAGTTCAACTACATCGTGATGTCACAGACTTCTGTCACTTTCTCTCATACTATGGTGGTAGAAACTACGGTAGGCACTTAAAACGACCGATCTTATTTGCTAGATGATTACATTAAAAGGTTGGGAAAAGATATTAACTAAATCGATTAGTTTCACACATAGAAACATCTAATAAACATTTTATATCTACATATATACAACTTTTGAAATACATATTTAAAACTAAAGGTATATTGAATAAATAAATGAATGCTAACATGAAAAATAAACTTTCTTTGTATATATCCTTATTCCTTTGACATATTTTATACTCAAGCGTATAACATCTAAGACATATACAAAGTTATAAAAATAAACTTTGAATGATTTAAACAAAGGGCAAATTAAGCTCAACATTTGCTAGGATGCACCAAAACCCTAATTATGCACTGTAAGTTGCATTAATTTAGTGGCTACATTTATTAAATTCTAAGCATAACCTAAGCTAATTCAAATATCATACTGAATTCTGGAATAATGAGCTGGCACATAAAAATTTGCAAATGCTATTGTAAAAAACAAAATAGTTTTTTGAATTTGCATATTTTTTATGTACCAATTTGCTATTTCAGAATCGAAAATATTTTTTATTTATTTAGTTTACATTATAAAGATTTAATATAATATTTTATATCAAGAAATATGCATTTATACGTATGCAAATACCCTGAGATGAATGTTTAAAAATTAAAAAAAAAAAAAAAAAAATATCAGATAATTTTTTCGAGAAGTAAGCAGGTATTTGCATCCGAAATTTTAGTATAGAAAATATGTGTAATTTGAATCAGTTCTGTCCAATAAAAAATATAATTTTCAACAGAGATATACTGGATACACCATTTTTGCTGCAGCTAAGTGTTTCCTGTATATATATATTTAAGCATTTCTTACAATGCTTAGGCTTTAAAAACAGCACACTTAAGACAAAAGACAGTTTGATTTTTCATTCATTTAAAGCAATTATTTTGCAATATGAAGAAATTTGTTTTAAAAATTTATTTCTTCTTTTCCACATAATGGTGTAATTTTCATCAACTGAATTTAATATTCTGCTTTTAGCTTTTGAATATTTTTGATTAATTAATTTTTTGTTTAAATTCCTTAACATTGTGAAAGTTTGAATCCTAGCAAATGTTTTAAGTAATTTTTCATCAGTGTCGGAAAACTGCTGTTTAAGAATTTTGGCAAAGTCCTTTATAATATAATATTTTTTCCCTTTCACAAAGTAGAACCGTTGAAAATTAAAAAGTGTTCTTCCATTTTATGAACTCGCATTTCCAAATTTCATATAATTTAGTCCTTCACGTGATAGATATTTTATCCACGATGAAGCACAATTTGGATCTTTTAGTTTATACATAAATTCCCCAAGATTAGGGTGATGGATATGATACTTTGTTGCTATTCATCCTGCAATATAACTTAAATAATCATGTTCTGTGAAAGTTATGTCCAATTTTAGTTCGGAATTTTCAGATGGCCAATCCATGTTTTTTTCAATATTACTATTACCTGAATATGAAAATGACATTTTATCATTGTTTCCAATGACAACTGTTACACAAGCATGATGCAAAACTATTGAAATTAGATAATCATCTAATCTATTCACGCTTGTGCTTTCTTGAACTCCAATAAAACCATTCTTGCCTAGCATCACCATACTTATATGGTATAAAGAGGAGTAAGATGATCATCTAGTGCTCCCTTTGCTCCTAAACTGAGAAAATATATTTTCGAGAACATCTTGATTTAAACGATGCTTTAGAATGTATGAGTGGTTATATTTTTCTTTCACATGATGGAAGAGTTTTAAAGTTGTACATGAAATTAGAACACCTTTTTGAAATGATTTTTTTTTCCAATCCACCTCATGTTTTTCATAGCTTTTGAAAAAAATACCTGTTGCTGCATCCTGAGTTGTTTCCGTAAGCACTTTTACAAGAAAATCCAAACACTATTAAAAATGTTAAACTAGTTATTTGCTTCTGTTATAAAACTTAATCACAACATAATTTAGGATCAGATCCAGGCTTATATCTTTCTAATGCAGCTGCAGTTGTTTCTTAAAACAACTGAGATGCTAGACGTACATTTTGTTGCTGAGATTTTTCACATAATATGCCAGTTTCTGTTAGTTTGCAGCAAACTTTATATTTATCAGCATTAATCTTAAATAATTTCAAAAGTGGAATTTTACAGACAAAACCAGTATCTAAAAACCAATTGCGAATAAGTTTCAGAAGATATGGCTCATCTAAAAAAAAAAAAAAAAAAAAAAAAATATTGATAATTGGATGCATAAACATGATTAATTTTGGTTTATTTGTAATGTTTTCCACAGTGTGCAGTGAGATTTACTCATTAGAACCAATTTGATGGAATTTTGAAATCATGTCGAAAAGGATGGCATCTGTCATCCTTCTATCAAAATCTACAAAGAATGGTTGCTTCCATTTATCGAAAAGGACACGTGCTAATAGCTTTTGCAAATATGAGCCAAAACTTTTATCATATTTCATATCATATTCATCTGTAGTTTTTATTTTCATTTCATCAAACAATAAAACTACGAGAAATTGAAAATCTCCGTTACCTTCTCTAATTATTTTCATAATTTTTAAAGCATCGTGTAAAATACCTTGTTGAAATTGAAATAATGACAATGCCTAAGGGTAGTGAAATGTAAGAGGATACTTTAGATGTTTCTGAAGACAGAGATATGCCTTTCTACTTAAATAGCGTAATGTGAACGCAATTGAAAATGTTTCTTCATCCTATCTCACACTATTTTTCTGATCAATTAGCTATTTTTCCCGTGATTTAGTAAAAGTTCTTTTAAAGCACTGGAAAGTTTATTATATGTAATGTCATTTTTAAAATTCTCTCTTCTCAACTGTGTTTCTTCCTTTTTCACTAATTGTGATCTCAAGAAGCAAACTGTATCATAGGCGGATTTTAACATTTTCTGTAAATTCTTAGTTTAATTTTTTGGCTTTATGTTTTTGTTCTATGTTTAAATTTACTAATGTTGAAAAAGATTCTCACTCACAGGAAACAGAGGACCTCATAGGAGTTCAGCATTCCAAAGCAATGGCTTTGCGTTTCCGTTGATGCATGCATTCTATATCTCAGTTTCCGAATGCACAGACCTTTTCACTTTACGGACCTTGGGGTAGAACAGGCTGGGATATGGAAACAATTAGCATTTCAGGGAGTGCGCACATTATAGACAAAAACATATTGGAAGGGTATAAAAAGGCAGACTAAGGTGCTGATTTTTCATTCGGAAATCATGTTTACTTTTCTTGGTGTCAGAGGTCATATATCTAATTGTAAGATGAAGGAATACATACCATCGTATCTCAGAGTTTGATTGGAGAATAGTACCTTACCAAAACTGCAGAATTTTGTACTGCACTACTGCTGCTCACACTGGCCAAGATCCAGTAATTGTTATGATGACATACATCCGGAACATGGACAAATGAATGAAATGTCTTCTTATGGACAAATTCTGTTTTTGACTACAGCATACTGAGAGATATGTCCAAAATAGGTACTATGGAGTTTGCATGATGATGCATTCCTCATTATAATTCAAGTACAGTACTTAGATTGATGTTGTGGTGTGCCAATGAGCATACAGCCATATGGATAAATTCTGTTTTTGCTAACAATAGCCTGATAGCCATGTCCCATGGAGGTACTATGTAGTTCTATGGAGTCTGTATGATGATGCATTCTTCATATAATTCAGGTATACTGTTGATGTTACAGATTGCCAATAAGTACACATCCTGCCCTTCTCTCATCTGCATAGCTGAAGCTTTCACCAGCTGCTGTTACATTACTGAAGTTTTATGACTGTAGTTTTGCTATATCTTTGACGCTTCTCTTGCTCCATACTTCACTAGGACAGATGATATCCCAAGTTGCCTGTGCTTTTCTGCATTTCATTAATACCCAGGATGTTTTGTCTTCTGCCTGGACTGGTGTGTTCTCTACATATCTTACCAAATGAAAATGTCTGGCTCCAGAAAGACTGACATGACAATACCTGCCAGCAAATACATAAGATGAACTCTGGCAGAGAATGGAAGCTGGACTGCAATATCTGTGACTGTCATTTTAAATCAGTTTGACCCCCATGCCAAATCGTATAATAATATGCTATTACTGAAGCACTATATTCATTTGCTTTCGTAAAACAGACTCGACTGAGTTATCTTAGGATGCAAGAAAAAATACTCTTCAGAAGAACAATAAAAACATACATTTATTTACAGAAAATGCAGGTTCGCTATTAATTACAGTTTCACATACTACTATCTAACAAGAGAAGAAAAACACACTGTTTCCAGTCCACTGCAGTTAAGTATTGGCATCAGAGGGTGTGGCTCATCAATAGCCAACATCAGAGGGTGTGGCTCATCAATAGCCAACAATTACTGCCAAAGACAGAGAAAAGCTCAGGGTACTGATTTCTGCCTACTCCGTACTTCAGAATTATCTGAAATTTTAATTCTTTCATTATAATGTATTTGCAAAATTAATATGATTCTGCTATCTTCCTGGTGCAATTTTAATGGTCAGCAGTGTGCGATTATATACATATACGCACTTAAAGAAAACACAAAAGATAAATTATAAAACATTAAATCAGTGATATTCAATGTATGGGTCGTG